GTCGTAGCCTTTGGACACCTGGATGCACAGGGAGTTCCCCTTTCTGCTCGTCGAGGCCATGACAACGTCTTTAGCCTCTTCCTGCATAGCAAGGATACGGATACTCAGCGACGAGAAGTTATCCGCACTGATCTTGGCACATGGCTTCTGCATGTAAGAGAAGATCAAGCCCATTCTGTCGTTCCCATCCAGGCCCTGAGCGACTTTCCCCACGTAGGCACCCCGCTCGTCCATGATGGTCAGAATGGCGGTGTCACCTCGGCTATTGCGAACGTAGAGCTCCGTGATGTCTTTCCCGTCTGCGTTGAGTGAGAGCATTCGACCCTCTGCAACGGTAACCTCCACCTGTGTGCCACTGCTGGTGATGGCGAACTTTTCTAGAGACTCATCTAGGATGGCTGACATTTCCACCGAATAGGTTACGTCATTCCGCCTGTTCACAAGGCGCTGGCATAGCACCGGCAGCTTCACAGCCTGCGATTCGGGGCCTTCGGCGACTTCCTCTGGCTCTTCGGCTGACTCAGCGATCCCCATGCCATGCGGCTACGTATGGAGTCTCGTTTACGGCACGTGAGCACGCGCAACACAGGGACGAGGCCCGGCCTCTCCTTCGCCTCACTTGAGCCGAATGTGTTGGCGAGCTGCTGTAGCACCATCCTCTTGCGCTCTCTTTCTGGTGCTCACCGCGAGGAAGGGAGTCCAACTGGGTGGTAACGGCTGTAGGACTGTATGACATTCTGAACAAGGTCAAGCCTAACATCAAGTTAACATGCTTAAGGTGTTGGAATGCCAAAGTCCCCTTCAACAAGAGCACGGTGCTCTTACGTTCAGCAAACATGACATAGCAACTTGTTGCAGCACACAATGTCTACCCGCTAACTGTTGGGTTGAAACACGTGGCAACCCAGGGAAGGGGATGACTGCTTGGCTGACTTCTGCACACCCACGTAGCAGGGGCCAGCCTATTTCGGCGGTGTACATCATATTTTCACAAGTGAACATTCATGTAGAGAAAATTCGGGCGTTGGCATGGGCCGCTAGTATTTCATACCCTTGCATTCCAATTCTGTGGGTGTGGACGTTTCGTGGAGGTCCACAAAAGGACCGGGGGCCACACCAATGGCCCATGCAACTTTCCTAGAGGTCGGCAATTCTTGAGCAAACACTCATGGACGTCCCCTTGAACATTCCGCTTTCACCTCACTCCCTCGACTGGGGAGCCCAGTGTGCTAGTGTGCTGGCTTCTCTTTGCGGGACAGCGCGCAGAACCTGAACAAGGAACCAGATTTGTTTGTGTTCTCCTGGCCGTTTGTTTTGGTTTCCGCTTTTCCGTCTTTTGACTTGTCCACGCTTCTTGATCTTGGAGGCTTCCCGCCATTTTAGGCAGCGGTTCTCGCCGCGTCCACGTGAACTCCGTAAAATGGCGGGGCATTCTTTTGGTTCCTGGAAAAGGCAAAACCCTCCCACCAGTTATCATGGAACCTGACAGGAGGGTCCTGGAAGACAACTGTCCTTTCAAAGGGACCAGGTCCCTGTCAGGTCCATGTTAATTGGCGGGAGGGTATGTTAAGCCCGGGCAAATCTAATCCTTGCAGGAGCCCTAGGACAAACGGGCACACTGTCCTGGTTCACCGCAATGATCTCCTCATTGCTGTAGGTGGCCAAGGTCTCATCCTCCATGTCCAGCACCTGCAAAAATACAACCTCCCAGAATGGCTGTGCACGGGCGCAATAAATCCCACCGGCCACAAAAAGATTTCATATGCTCCACGTTGCATTGGGCCGCACTCCCCAATGAAATCGAAACTGAAGACCCAAAACCTTGAAGGACGTGTCTTTTCAAGACACCTTTTGCGTGACTTCCTGTCAGCTGGCATGGAATCACTGGGGCACATCGTACAAGTTTGTTTGCACGGTAACATTAACCCCCCCCCAGCCACTCCCGTAAGCAGCCCAACAGTTGTTTGGATTGCTGCTTTGCTGAGCTAAGCGTCTGAGCTGGCGCTGCTTTTGCAAGGTGAGCAACCTTGCAAAGAGGAAACACCACCAAACACTTGTGTTTTTGTTTCGAGTGGTGCACTGGATGTGCCCCGAGAAGATCACGCTGGGTGTCCCGGCGCTGCCAGAGATCAGCAGCGGCGCGGCGAGCACAGCCCACATCGAAAACCTCGAAGCACAGCTCACGACAAGACTCGGGAGCGAGTGAGCGAGCCGAGCGAGTTTGATCGGAGAATTCAGTTGAAATCCTCACAGTTGTTCTTTCATTTTGTAGCGACACCTTGCAAATTTGGAATCATTGGGTATCAAGCGATTGCCCGGTAATATGTCTCTAGAGAATCATATGTACTCCCTCGCCAACCTCTTGTCCACTTTTCCGCACGTGTCTGCGATGCGCGGCTTAGCGTGGAAGATCCCAACAATCCCCTCACCAAACTGAAGCCTTTGTCGCAAGTGGAGCCTTTTTCCTCCTCGGTTCGCTGGTCGCTCTTCTTTGTCCAATTCAACAGAGGTCGCTGGTATACTCGGTTCTCGGTTTCGCCTCCAAGAAATGCATGCAGTTTTCTTCAGTTCACTGAGAAAGCCCTACTGCATTGAATGTATGGAACATGCCGACTGCTCAAGGATATCTCCTCCGTTGAAACATGGGCGTGGCCGACAAACTTGGGGAGGGGGACAGCGTTTTCAATGGCGCTTCGGAGAAAACCAGACATATATATATGTATGTATAGGTCAAAAACCCACCTCACCTTCTGTTGCCCTTGGTGCTTGGCCATTCAACCTACCTCCCGAGATCTCTAACAGTGACTTTTACATCCCCCACTCTCATGTCACGCATTGGGCATACTGCATTAGGCAACGATTTGTTCAAGTCACATATTGCCGAGTCAACAAACTCAGGATTCCAAAACGAGAACAAAAGAACTCCATCGTTGAGAACCCTATTGCTTTCCCGGTTTGAGACCAAAAAGTGGAGGCCCTGCCTGAAAGTACATCATTCGTTCTGACTGGTCACCAGGGCTGGGACCTGTTTCAACATGTTCTGGCCACTTCCGTTGAGGCATCCTCACTTAGGCCTCCCTCATGAATAAGTATAAGTATGATTTATATATATATATATATGTATGTATGTACGTAGTTCCGTCCTTAGGTTTCCTTTGTGGTTCGCTACAAAACTCAAAAGGTTGTCCCACTTGTAGGACATGGCCCATTCCTTGACCAAAGGACATGGAACAAAGGTTAACCTGTGGAAAAGCACAGGGTCCGCGGCGCGTGCATGCAAAATTTGGGTAAACAACCAAACTATGGAATATCATGGGCCCCTTTGCTTAACAGTGGTGGTTTGATCATCCGTGTGTCTTTGTGAGTTGGCCCGTCGTTTGTTTGTTTTGAGGGAAACCAACCGGAAATCACCGCCATTTAGGGACAAAACTGCAACAAGCACATTTAGAAGACCAATCCCGTTCAAGAAATGCTCATTTGCGTCTCTCCTATGCTTGAACATCCTTTGCGGGTGGCAAATGGCACGATTCCCCTTCTCGTTGGTAAGGGCTATGATGAAACCAACACTAAATGACACACATCCCCTCATGCTGGTTGTATATGGTGTTTGATGCCTCCCAACAAACTGTCCGAGGCGCTGAGCCCTGGTCTGCAGCGCCGTGACCCGCAGCGTTCGGCTCCAGGTGGCACTCAGCAGCAGGCAGGGGTCGTTCCAGCCCCCCGGGCCTGGCCGAGCGGCCCGCGACTGGCGGTCTTTTGCACTCAAATACAAATTGATCTACAGTGCTCGTTTTTTTCGTTGTTCTGAAGAATCCTCTTGAGGTAAGCCAGTCATGTGGCCGAACAAATGCGGCACGTTGACCTACACCGCTATTCTAAAGATCTCAGGCAACCACCAAGCTGGCCACTTCAAGAGTGAGAAGAGTCATCTGTTGCGTTCACTGAAATCGGCCGTGGGCCTCCGAAATAAGTCTACTTCTCTTGACCGCCATGGTCTTCCCAAATAAGTCCAGAAACTCACTAAGTGAGGCGCCCAAAGGGCGGAGCCTTGCCTGCGTAGCGCTCCAGCCCACTCATGGCGTCGATGTTCTGCAGAATGCCCGGCCAGTTGGTATCGTCCGGGCCGATGCGCCAGCTGTTGCCCAGCTGCCGACCCACCGGCGCATACCAGCCTGAGCCCCTTTGGACCGTCCAGGTCCCCAAATGGACTTGGGATATTTCAATTGGCGTTGACAAAGACGCTTGGGGTGAAGTTGGCGTTTTGTTCCATGTCCTCCCGAATCACCTGTAAACTACATTCCCATTGTGCGCGGCAAGCCTGCCATGTAGCTGGCTGGTCGAGTGCATTCCCACGGCTCGCATGTGATTTGAGGGGCGGGCTCAACGGGTCGAACCCATTTGGACAAGCCACTGTTCCAGCCACACAGGCTGAAGAGCACCGGGCGCCCGCTGGCATTCAGCGCATCTCCTCAGCCCGGCGACCCCCGTCCTCACTTCTAGTTTGCCGGGGACCGCTTGCGCAGGCTAACTTGGGATCGGCTCCAGTCCCCCAGCTGCCCGGCGCCCCATTGCCCAACACCGAGCCGCGCATTCGGCCGTACTCGGCGAAGGCGGTTTCGTGATCAGTGCTGGCGTTGCAGGAATCCTGAAACGCAACCGTGTGTCCAAGCTCGGGACCATGACAAGCGGTTGGCTTATGTTGGCTTCATGAGTCTGATGCTCATTTCCCTTCTAGAAACATAGGAATAAGAAAAATGTCAAATGGAGTCCCCCAACTTCTCGACACTGCCACATGGCAGTTGCCGGATCCCGTTTAGTTGGCCCAACGGGAGAGATGTGACCAGCGAGCCATTCCCCGCGCAAAGGCCTCGAGTTGCAACATGTACCAGAAGTGTCCCGAAGTGTCCCAGCCAGGTTTTAAATCAAAGGCAGGGGATGTGTGGTGTACAACCGTGTAGCGCAAAGAGAAAGGAAGCCTGAGCACATCACAATTGGAAAACAGCATTGAAGGCATCAAGCAGCGGACCCATGTTGCACCCTCCCGCCCTGGGACCCTTGCATCCTAGAGATCTGCCAAACATTCGACTTACTCCAAGAGAGGAGGGAGTGCCTCACTTACCACCAAGTATTCTGAGCAACGCATTTCTTGCTTCATTATTTTGTCAACATGTAGCGTCCTCTATTGTGCTGCTTCCTGCGGAACATATCTTGCCCTGCAATGTGGGATGTGCAGTTGGCTTGACCACGCGAAGTTAGAATTCGGTGTCTCAGGACGCCAATCCACTCTCCCCGTCCTCCACCGCCCCTCACCTGTCCCCTTTTGTCCCCTTCTGTCTCCGCCTTCTGTCTCCTTCTGTCTCCTTCTGTCTCCTTCTGTCTCTTTCTGTCTCCTTCTGTCTCCTTCTGTTTCCTTCTGTCTCCTTCTGTCTCCTTCTGTCTCCTTCTGTCTCCTTCTGTCTCCTTCTTCTGTCTCCTTCTGTCTCCTTCTTCTGTCTCCTTCTGTCTCCTGCTGTCTCCTTCTGTCTCCTTTTGCCTCCTTCTGCCCCCTTTCGCCTTTTCCACGCCTCCTTCAAATAGTCCACGCCCCAGGCAGCATACGTCTGCGCATCAATCTCCTCGTGCCTGGCGACACAAAGTGGAACCTGCAAGATCAGAACATGGTTTGCTTAAATGGCATGTCTCTCAACAGGGGAACTCTCAAAACGGTCCAATTCTAAGAAATGCCAAACGACGGGTTTGAGGTGCGACCACGAATCAAACAGAGCGATCTCGCCTCGCAGCGCCCGGTCGCCCAGCACAGGTCAACTCCCCACGGTCCGTGTAGGTGCCAAATAGGAGACCCTGGCTGGCAGAAGACTCCACACAACTTTGAAAACAAGATCTGGAAGGGAAAAACCGGGAATCCTCACAAGAAAAAGGGCATCTCTTTCCAGCCCGACAAGAAAGACAAATCCCCGAATATTCTCTCCAGTCATGTTGCAGGCAAAAAATCGAAGCGCTGTTGGTCAGAAAGCAGGCTGGAGTCACACCAAGGCATTTCGCCTTTCCTCACAAAGAGTCCATAGAAAATATAAGCTCCCCCCTTCACAGCATACGGTGGGAATGGAATAAGGCGTCCCAACAGGAAGAATCGGCTTGGGCCATCTGGCGTTCATGAATTCAGACTGCGCTCCAAATTCTGACACAATGTGAATCCCCGCAGTATGATTCCCAAGAGAAACTAATCTGCCAAAGCGACAGGAGACCATCAAAAACCGATACCAGCCTCTCAAGAAAGTTAAGCCAAACCGCATGCACCACGTGGGGCACCTTGAAACCTGAAGTTTGAGAACACTTTGCCCAGAACATCCTTAGTGTGTAAAACAAGTTGATTCACTCCAGTGACCGCATGCTCATTGCGCATTGCACCCGCAATTCCGAACCAAACGCTCCACTTCCCGAAGCAGCCAAAGGAATTGCGCACACCGCAGCGCAGCCCCCGCCACTCTGCCGCAAGCCTTGCTGTGCACATAGTCCGCCAACGGCTTCAAGGTGCCCGAAGGAAATTTCGCCTGGCGCCAAGTTGCATCGTGTGTAAGCCTGCCCCTTCCCAGCCCGAAACCCCACGGACTTTGCAACCAAGTGCTGCCAGCACATCGCATGCTACCGATCTATCACATGAACTCAGCAAGATATATCTTGTAAAGGTCAATCCATGTGAAACCCCAAAGCAACAAAGCTTTGGCGTTCGTTTTGTTGGGTCGCCGGATGCACCGATCGCCTGGTCTGCCACCAGCTGCCCAGACCCGTCTCGGCTCTTGGCCCAGCAGTCGTCCAAGTTCAAATACCTCAGAGCGGTGGGATCGCAGGCAAAGAGGAAAGTAACTTGAACCCCAACCACCTTCCCATGTCTAACGTGCGTCGCGATTGAAACGTGGAACAGGGAGCTGGCAGTAAAAATTGGCAAGCCTCACTTGGCATTCTGATTTCAAGGGCCGGTTCTTCGTGCGACTGCTTGATGAAAGCTGTAGATTGATGTGGAATGGCTTCCCTCGTCGCTAGCAATCAATGCTTGCGCATGTTGGCAAACGCTTGGCGAACCTGTAAGAATTCTAGCACAACATGTGCGCTCATCCCGGCTAGTGTGAGCAAACCAAGCATTGCAACTGTCGACCGAATCCAAAACATCAAAACTGCGATTGACAAAGGTTGGGGGTCAAGGCTGGCACAGTGGAACTGCTGCTGGGTGACAAAGGGACTTGACTTCATGTGGCAAATGAGGGTGGGCAAACAACAGCCACCAAAAGCGTGGGTTTTACCTTAAGGATCCAATTAAGACGCACCCCTCAAAAAACATGTGTGCTTGAGGCGCCATGCGAAATCTACAGGCTCCTTCGCCCATCTCCCCCCCCCCCCCACCCCTTCTTTTCCCGTCGACCCCTTCGCTCCCAAGGCGCCAGCCCGGTTTTTTGGAAAAGATCTGCCTCCTTCAGCCGATTCAAGCTCTGCAGTCTCAGTCCCTGACGCATCCCCACAAAGCCCTCAAAGAAGATTCCAATTAGTTGAAAATAAAGTCCAACTGATAGTGAGCGAAGAAGAACTTGAGAGCTTTGCCTCATCCAACTTCGCCGCAAGGCAAGAGCCCAGCTAAACCAAAGATTCTTCGCGCAGCCGACCGGTGATGATTCATCGATCCCAATTGGCCGATGTGATGCGAGTTGAACACGCAAAACCCTGGACACATGCAGACTGGGAAGTTGTGACTTCACTGCGGCTTTGGAGACGCAAGCTGCAGCAGCGGCGTGCACGCTGTGGTCGCAATCCCTTCCAGCGTGTCTCATGACTGATGGGCCTGGATTGGTACGCCTATCCTCCTTTGGTGCTGCAAGCGTCAGGACGGCTGTAGGATTTCGGCCGATGCTTTCGCCTTGCCCCAAGGCAACTAAAGGCATGTTTTTGCGAGCTGTAGGCGGGCATACACGCAGGACCCATCTTGGCCAAGCTCGCAAGGGCTGTCACTGCCACAGTTGATCAGCCTTTGAACCAACAGTAGCAGATTCCGATCTGCTAATCCGGCAAATTGGTGTTTGTTCAAGCAGGCTGACGGAAAAAATCACCTATAGAGGTCTCCGGGTATGACACATACGGTAGCAAGTGATGCTACGTACCATGTTCTACAAATCTAGCAGCGATCCCCTACTGTCGATTGCTATTGGAAAAAACAGCGCCGCTCACAGCCATCCGTCAGAGTCTCGTCAGCGGCGAAAAAGAAACACCTGCGGTCAGCACGTGACTGGGCACGCTACAGGGGTTGCTAGTGCGCTTGTGCTAAAAAGGCCATGCAAATGAGCCTGCCTTAAAACTTATTCATGGCCTGCATGCAGTTCAGTCTTAATGGGTCCGCTATCGTTTTTCAAGTTTAATGCTCTTTTCACAAGTTTTTTCTGCGCGAGGCTGCGAACTGCTAAGACAGTTCCGGTGGCTGAGAAGTCGTAACCGTTTGGCAGGTGCTAAGGGTGCGCTCCGGCCTTTCGCAGCTCGCCACTTTAGGGTTCAGGTTTAGGGCTCAGGTCTATGGTTTAGGGTTTAGGGTTTAGGGTTTGTTTAGGGTTTAGTTTTGGGGCTTCACTGGCCCTCAACCCCCCGTTTAGGGTTCAGGTTTAGGGTTTAACTTGCCCCCAAACACCCGTTTAGGGTGTGGTTTTGAGGTTTAACTTGCTTTCAAACCCTCGCTTTAGGGTGTGGAGAGCTTCATTTGCCACCTTCCAATTTCTAGCTGGGCCTAGGATAGTCTCAAAAAATGGACATAGCGAACAGCGAAAAGCCGCACCCTGCGCAGTTGCGCGCGTCGGCGAAGGCTAGCCGATGTTCTAAGGGCCGACCGCTCGATATCAGGCGCGGGCATTAAGACGCTGGCAGGCGCGAGGGAATCTGAGCGTGTGACGCCCCCCGGAAGAGAGTCTCCGGGCAAACCACAAGCGCTGGCCGTAGTAATACTAGTACTAGTAGTAGTAGTAGTAGCAGTAGTAGTAGTAGTAGCAGTAGTAGTAGTAGCAATAGCAGTAGTAGTAGTAGCAGTAGTAGTAGCAGTATAGGTGAAGAGAAGTGAGTAGTGAGTAGTGAGTAGTGCGTGGTGAGTGGAGCGTACTGAGTAGTGGCTAGTGAGTAGTGGCTAGTGAGTAGTGAGTAGTAGTAGGTGTAGAAGTAAAGTAAAACTAGAAGTAGTAGTTGTAGTCGTAGGAGTAGTAGTCGTACTAGCAATTGTAGTCGTAGGAACGCAACAAATTGTTGTTGTTGTTGCCGCTGCTGTTGATGTTGCTGTTGTTGTGGTAGTTGCGGTTGTGGCTCCGGTTGCGGTTTTCGTTGCGGTTGTTGCTGTTGCTGTCGCCGTTGCTGCTGCTGCTGCTGATGTTGTTGTTGATGTGGTCGTCGTCACCGTCGTCCACGTCGTCGTCGTTGCTGTTGTTGCTGCTGCTGCTGCTGTTGCTGTTGCTGTTGTTGCTGTTGCTGTTGCTGTTGCTACTGTTGCTGTTGTTGTTGCTGTTGCTGTTGCTATTGCTGTTGGATTCGCTGTTGCTGTTGCTATTGCTACTGTTCTTGCTGCTGCTGCTGCTGCTGCTGCTGCTGTTGCTGTTGCAGTTGCTATCGCTGTTGTTGTGGCTGCTGCTGCTGCTGCTGCTGCTGCTGCTGCTGCTGCTGCTGCTGCTGCTGTTTGTTGTTGTTGTGGTTGTTGTTGCCGTTGCCGTTGCCGTTGCCGTTGCCGTTGCGGTTGTTGTTGTTGTTGTTGTTGTTGTTGTTGTTGTTGTTGCTGTTGCTGTTGCTGTTGCTGTTGCTGTGCTGTTGCTGTTGCTGTTGCTGTTGCTGTTGCTGTTGTTGTTGTTGTTGTTGTTGTTGTTGCTGTTGTTGCGGCTGCTGTTGCTGTTGCTGTTGCTGTTGCTGTTGCTGTTGCTGTTGCTGTTGCTGTTCTGTTGTTGTTGTTGTTGTTGTTGTTGTTGTTGTTGTTGTTGTTGTTGTTGTTGTT